AAGACTTCCATGATAGACTCATCTGGGCTATATCAGTGTTTCATGCTTATGGCCATCAATGGGCTTGCCAGCTCATTTATCACCCAAGAAAATGTATAGGCTTTGGACTTACAGATGGTGAGGGCTGTGAGCACTTTTGGAGCTCAATTAAACTGCTCATCCCATCACTGAGAGTTACTGGATACTATAACCATCTCTATACCTTGGATACTCAAGTGAAGCATCTAGATAAGAAGTCACTATTGAATCTTGGAGATTGGCTCAGAGGTAAATGGGTTTCCATGAAAACACACAAGTCAGAAGCTCTTGGTGTTTTAGATGAGCTAGCAGATTTAGATATCACTGAAGATTTTCTAAGAGAGGAATGGGCTGCTCAACTGGTTGCACAGACTAAGCCAATGCCCCGTCAATCCAAGAATCTGGCAGATAAACTCATTGAAGAGATTATGCAATTGAAAGAGGATACAGATTCGTGCAATAAAGAGATATACAAGTTTGAGGGTATGATTCAGTCTGGGCGGTATGAAGATGGGTGGGATGTCTCTGAAGTTAGAGTGACACTTGCTGAACTCAAAGAGAAATGCAACAAACTAGAGAGAGCCTACAAAAGTAAACGTGGAATGCTGGGGACAGATGGCTGACTCCGGCTTGATCGGCTACTGGGAAACAAATGCTTAAAAGTCCAGATAAATGCCTTGGCCTTAAAAAAGAGGTTGAGAACCAGACTTCAGCAGCGAAAATTTGAACTTGATGGATTGGAAAGAGCTTACTGTAAAACAAATACCAATGGTAGGCTATAAATACTGATATCAGTATTATACCTCACTAATGACATAATGCAGATAAGAAGCTACAGGACCACTCAGTGTCTCAAATCAAGCAGAAGGAACCTGGTATTCAACAGCTTGCAAAAAAATACAATGAGTTATGTGGAGAGTTGGAGGCTATGATTAAGAAGAAACAAGCACCATGTGGTGCTCGTGCACCTCATCCTATTGCCAGTGATGGATTGTTCAAGCTGGATGTTGATGATGACATATTGATACGCGTTGCACGGGGATGACCGTGAAAGTGCGAAATACGCAAACAGTTTTTGTAATAAAAACCCGTTTTTATTATAAGGTGTGGTTTAGAATAGTTCAATAGAACAAAGTATGTCTTTCTGGGAACTTGGTCTCTTAAATGCAAAGTTCGTTGATCACAGTTTCTTTTATTAACACAAAACACGACTTCAATTGACTTTTATGACTCCCGTGAGTTTTTATTATGTCACTACACTCCAAAACTAAGGGTGTGTTTTTTTTAAAACCTCTTATTCAAAAGTCTCCAAGTAAGTTGACTCCCAAGCACGCTGGCTTCGTTCACACTGTACTTTTCTCACTTCAGTCACCCACTGACAACTGACTATTAGTCTTGCAAACTCCATGAATACTACGGGACTAAATGTCAGGGTGTATATCTATATTGTATATATTCTGGGCTTGTATATTTCCACTTTTACCTAAATATATTTTGTTGTCCAATGTCACACTAAATATATTTCTAGTGTGTCACACACCCCAAAATATATATCCTCACTGGAATGGACTCCAAATATATTTCCTATGGCTGGACCCTGAATTGTGACTGTCACAATGTAGAAATATATTTCTTGTCTGGGATGGACTTGGGATATATTTTGCAGCTAGGGTTGACTAAGGATATATATTTTCAGCCACAAGGGGTGTCTGGGGTCCTATATTTAAAAGAAAAACTTGGGATTTTTTTAATATAGGGGATAGGGGATTTACCTATTATTTTGTAGGCAGAATACCCTCATTGGGATGTTTGTTGACAGACATTTACCAATGGGTTTGACCCATGTGTAGTATATGCATTGATGTGTGCACTATTTCCTAATTGGGCCATTTCCTAATTGGGAAAAGTGTTACACTTTTTTCTGACAAACCTGATGTCAGGCACAGTGCACATTTAGGTTGGGAACTGTTTCCCATGCTTTTTGGGCCAGAAGAATTAATGGCTAGCATGGTGTGGTCATTCTTAATGATGATGTGCGCACTATTTCCGAATTGGGCGACTTCCTAATTGGGAAAAGTGTTACACTTTTTTCTGACAGACCTGATGTCAGGCACAGTGCACATTTAGGTTGGGAACTGTTTCCCATGCTTTTTGGGCCAGAAGAGTTAATGGCTAGCATGGTGTGGTCATTGTTAATGATGATGTGTGCACTATTTCCTAATTGGGCCATTTCCTAATTAAGTAAAGCATTACACTTTTTTCTGACACACCTGATGTCAGGCACAGTGCACATTTAGGTTGGGAATTATTTCCCACGCTTTTTGGGCCAGAAGACTTAATGGCTAGCAGGGTGTTGTCATTGTTAATTACGATGTTCACATATTTCCCAATTGGGAAAGTCATTACATAATATCACTGTGGTTTGTAGTGTCTGCTTTTTTCATTACAACACTTTGTAGTGTCCGCTTTATTGATTAGAAAATTTTGTAGTGCCCGATTTTTTCATTAGAACACTTTTAGTGTCCGCTTTTTTCATTACAACACTTTGTAGTGTCCGCTTTATTCATTAGAAAATTGTGTAGTGTCCGATTTTTTCATTAGAACACTTTTTAGTGTCCGCTTTTTCCATTACAACACTTTGTAGTGTCCGCTGTTTTCATTGAAAAACTATGTAGTGTCCGCTTTATTCATTAGAAAATTGTGTAGTGTCCGCTTTTTTCATTAAAAAACTATGTAGTGTCCGCTTTATTCATTAGAAAATTGTGTAGTGTCCGCTTTTTTCATTACAACACTTTGTAGGGTCCGCTTTATTCATTGAAAAATTGTGTAATGTCCGCTTCTTTCATTAAAAAACTATGTAGTGTCCGCTTTGTTCATTAGAAAATTGTGTAGTGTCTGCTTTTTTCATTACAACACTGTGTACTGTCCACTTTATTCATTAGAAAATTATTCATTAGAAGACTGTGTAGTGTCCGCTTTTTTCATTAGAAATGTGTGCAGTGTCCAATTCTTTCATTACAAAACTTCATGGTTTGCCTTTCTGATATCCTGCAGCTTCCTGGAAATATAGCTTAATGTTTCACAGAAACTGACTCCAGCCAAAGACCTCTTCATCATTTAGAATCCATACACAAATTGTGTGCTGACTGACCATCAAGTGTTCTAATTGTTCCCTTGGCTAGCTTCAGTCATGTTGTCCAACATTCATTGCATCTCCTTGAGGAGTCATCTCTGTCCATCTTTGTCTGACCATACCCAACCTCAACATGATGTCCTTCAAGAAGATCTCAGTGATGATTTGCCAGCTGTTGAGGACACTACAAAGCTGTTCAAGAATAAAGCGGACACCTCACACTCAGCTAATGAATACAACTGGTGTATAAATTCCAGATGAAAGAAGCGTTCACTACACAATATATCAGAAAGGCAGACCACAAAGTTTTCTGATGAAAAAAGCGAATACTGCAGAGTTTTCTAATGAAAAAAGGGGATACTACACAGAATTGTAATGAAAAAAGCGGACATTACACAATTTTCTAATGAATAAAGCGGACACTACAAAGTGTTGTAATGAAAAAGCAGACACTACACAATTTTCTAATGAACAAAGTGGACACTACAAAGTGTTTTAATGAAAAAGCGGACACTACAAAGTGTTGTAAGAATAAAGCGGACACCTCACAATTTTCTAATGAATAAAGCGGACACTACATAGTTTTTTAATGAAAGAAGCGGACACTACACAATTTTCTAATGAATAAAGCGGACACTACAAAGTGTTGTAATGAAAAAAGCGGACACTAAAAATGAGTGTTCTAATGAAAAAATCGGACACTACACAATTTTCTAATCAATAAAGCGGACACTACAAAGTGTTGTAATGAAAAAAGCGGACACTACACAATTTTCTAATGAATAAAGCGGACACTACAAAGTGTTGTAATGAAAAAAGCGGACACTACAAAGTGTTGTAATGAATAAAGCGGACACTACACAATTTTCTAATGAATAAAGCGGACACTACATAGTTTTTTAATGAAAGAAGCGGACACTACACAATTTTCTAATGAATAAAGCGGACACTACAAAGTGTTGTAATGAAAAAAGCGGACACTAAAAAGTGTTCTAATGAAAAAATCGGACACTACACAATTTTCTAATGAATAAAGCGGACACTACAAAGTGTTGTAATGAAAAAAGCGGACACTACACAATTTTCTAATGTATAAAGCGGACACTACAAAGTGTTGTAATGGAAAAAAGCGGACACTAAAAAGTGTTGTAATGAAAAAATCGGACACTACACAATTTTCTAATGAATAAAGCGGACACTACAAAGTGTTGTAATGAAAAAAGCGGACACTAAAAAGTGTTCTAATGAAAAAATTGGACACTACACAATTTTCTAATCAATAAAGCGGACACTACAAAGTGTTGTAATGAAAAAAGCGGACACTACACAATTTTCTAATGTATAAAGCGGACACTACAAAGTGT